AACAAAAGTATTACGGGTGGATATCGTAAAGTCACCACCATACGTGCCAAGGAGCAACGGCATAAACGAAAGCAGTCACAAAGCCCTCGAGAGCCAAATTGCGAAAATCAACGCGGACTCCCCAAATGACAGCTACGAACTGCTAGTTGCCCTAGCAACGTACACGCACAACGCAAGGTAGTGCGCATTTGTCAAATGGGATGGAGGCTGGATTATAACCCTCATTGCCTCGATCGCGGCGTCGAATGCCCGCTTGCCCAAAGTGGTCTGAACTTTGTACATCTTCGTTGGTAACTGGGAAAACTTCCAGGTCTCCTCGTCAATACGAATATTTTTCTGAGCCTGATGAAACCACCAATATAGCCTCGAACAAGCACAAACTCGGTTTACGGATTCCTCATTCTCCGGCAAGCGAACCACTCCATCCGGGAAGGAGAATCGATAAACCATTTTCTGGCAATTCCAACCACCTTGCCATGACACAGCAGGGCTCAACCAACGAGTCAAATATCCGCTACCAATGACCCTCTGCATCACGTTAGCAAGAAACCAGGTGTCAGATAAACCAACCGGTCTGGGCACCCAGGCCTCCAATTTCTCAATCAATTCGGTAAAGCCACCTTGATCCCTGTCTTGCCACTCACGCACCAACAATGCCAATTTCAGCCATCGCCATGGACAGCCATCGAAATCGGAATTCGACAGACCTACAGTCGAAATGCCTTCCCTACTTTGTGCTTCGCGCAGCTCTTTCAGGACAGTTGCCTTTGCCAGCTTCACAACCTTTGATTCCTCAACTGGACTTAGCACAGGGTCGAGTCCCTTCTCCTTCTCTAAGAACCCTTCCAACAGGCAAGCGAGTATGTTAAGCCCAGCTGAAACCTTCGCCGAAACAGTTCCCACCAATGGTGTTGGACACGCTCTTACAGGCTCAGGCTCTCTTACAGGCTCAGGCTCTCTTACAGGCTCAGGCTCTCTTACAGGCTCAGACCAGCCTTGCATCGATGGTTCGAATGAGGCCTCCGGTTCCAAAAGTCCCGGCCACCCTTCTAACCAAGGTTCTCTCCAGTCAGCCGCCAGAGGCTCAGGCCAGGTCTCCATCAAAAGTTCAACCAATGATTTCGTCGAGTCCTCCACCGAAGATACAGGCAAGGCGCCCACGGAAGGCCCAGGCAGCGGTTCCGTTCCTAGAGCAGTGCTTAGTTGCCCGGAAACCGGTCTCGTGGCAGTCACGATCGAGAACGGTGGCCGAAAAACTGCGATCGGGGAAGTTCTCGCTTTCGAACTCTCGGCATCGCTGGGTGGCTTTCCTCCCATGTTGGGCACCACAAACATAGCCACGATTATCCACCGGGTATTCTGGCCGGTACGACATACCCTCGTTCCAGCATCCTGGTGCCTCATACTAGTCTAAAATTTTTAAAGTAGCCGGACTGGGAGTGCTTGCTCTGAACTAGACCAGTAAACTTCTGTTGTGATGCTACGGCGCGTTCCTAGCGATCCTGACGTAGTGTGGAGGGCCCCTACCAACCGGGTGCGACTCAAGCAGCCGGTCATCCAAGAACCTGGCGGGTACGGTGGCCATTCACGGCACCCTTTTCTTCGCCGGCGGTTCGCCCTCAGACCGGTTCATTTCCACTCCGGCGTACCTCAAGAGAGCTCCCATGATGAACTTGTTTGGGAACCATGTTTTACGGGTCGTGTGGACTTTGCCGGTACCGGATGCTATTCAGTGGTCAGCTCTTGAAACTACCGGATATCGGCAGGCTCGGCACATAGAACTGTGCTTGAGTCCTCTAACTTCAGCGAGGAAGCCTCTCGGACGACCTGGGCAACCGCGACCCTTTGAATTGCAGACCAACGATTCCCGACGTCCCGCACTCAGAGACAGATAGTTGTTAGCTTTTTTTGGAAGGGGGACTTTAGGGAGAATTAAAGTAACAACCAAAAACTTGAGTAAAAGGCGTAGAGAGACTAGGGTGCTAAGACAGTAGTATGGACCTCCGGATGCAAGCAGTAACAAATTACTTGGCGACAGCTGCTGGATGCGCCCACGCATGGGCGCATCCATGGACCCACGCGCTCGAAAAGCGCGTGCGGCAAGCCCTGTTTTTGCTGCCATGACCCACATAGCCAAGAGTCGGCTGCACAACCCCTGGAAGTCGTTGAAAGGAGGTATCAGACCACTCATAGTACTTGGATGCATCCCGCTTGCCATATCCATGTGGCGAGCGAGCACCCACGTAGAGGTGGCCATCCAGCAAGTCAGCATCTCCATGGTGACCCTGGTGGCCACACCAGCACTTGAGAATGTAGGTAACCGGCGTGAGCGCGACAAGCTCAAACCCGGATACCGAAGACCTTACCAAACGAATCGCCAAACTTGAACGGCGCTCACAACAAGCTACCATACGTCCATCGACCGAAGGGCTCCCTAGGCACTCGCCTAGCGTTCATTCGTCGTGAGCCAGGAGGATCATTCGCACTGAGCATCGACGACATCAAAAACAACAGAGAACTGCTACGGACTCTCGCGAACATATATAACGAGAAATTCGAGAAGGAATCCTGCTGCTATCACAATGCCAAGCAGCGTCGACAACGGAAACGGGATGGTACAGCGCACCAAAAGCACCAGGACGACGAAGCCATGTTTAGCGACGAACCGCTCAGAGCAGGACGGGTAGAAACTGTGTCGACATGTGCAACTTCCGGTGGCAGGACGTCTACTGCCGTTCCTGGCAGACACTGGAGCAGAAATTAACATTTCCCGAACCACTGCTCAAAGACCTGGACGTTCAAACGCGGTCCTCTGTAACCGGCCTCGAGAATCCACTACAAGTCAAAGCCGTCGGCGGATATAGCAAGTGCGATCCGCAAGTCCGCATCACCACGTCGATGAATGGTCAGGTCGATGAATGGTCAGGTCGATGAATGGTCAGGTCGTTGAACTGGACTTCTACGTCCTACCGACACCCATGATGAAGTATCCGATGTTGGGGCTGCCCGCACTCCAACAGTTACACGCCGCCGTCGACCTAGCCAGCGAAAGGCTCGCCACTCATCACGGAGACCTACTACTGGTCCAAGATCCCGACCTAGTGGTATGCGATTCCAGGGTGAGTGCCCTTCAAGAGGCCGAAGAGTCCTTCACTCTCAGCCAGATCGAAGAGCGGATTAACCCGTCACTGTCCGACAGTCAGAGGCAGGACATACTCAAACTGCTCACAGCCTGCGACTCGACATGGACGGCTACGAAGGTCGGACGTTGCAAGGTACTGGAACATCAGGTCGACACAGGGGACAGGAACCCGCCAAGCAGGGCACCCGGTGATGCTCACCGGGACAAAAGAAGGAAATCCAACGACAGGTACAAGACCTGCTGGCCGCGGGGGCCATCGAAGACTCAGACAGCCCATGGAGGTCACAAATAGTCATGGTTTCAAAAAAAAACCGGGGAGTGGCGGATGTGCCTCGACTATCGGTGCCTTGACTATCAGTCCCTCAACGACGTCGCTGTCCCACGCTATGATAGAGTTGTTGCACACCTTCGACGCCAAGGCTTCAAAATCAACCCGGATAAGTCGAGCAAGAATGAAGTACTCGACGTCCTGGGCTACCGCATATCTAATGATAAGATATCGATACCACTTGAGAAGGAGCGTGGCATACGAGAATGTTTGCATAGCAACGAGGTCATTCGCGCTACCCACCAGCTGGGGTATTATAAAATGATTCTTACGCCGGCCCAAAGGGACCTTAATTCATTGAACCTTTGCACCATGGCCCAAAGGTGCTAGATATGTCACTATTCCAGCTGGTTCCCATGAAGCTACTCGAGACAAGGGCGTTAGAGAAGAAGATCGCCCTTGAGGACCTCGTTGAAGTGAGGGATAAGTATCTGGAGACATGTCACCCTGACTGGGTACGTAAGTTCAGAACCCTGGTGAGTGAGTTACAGAAGAAAGCTATACCACAGCTTGATCTCACACCGCTACTGACTACGAGGGAATTTAGAGATGCTCAAAGGAATGGTCCTCCGACATTCTCTAAACAGAACTCCACCTCGACTCCCTACCGCCACCCATGCCACCGAGACAGCCGCCGCGTGGTCTAGAAGAGATTATGCGAGAGGACTCATCAGTCTACAGCAATCTCGATTCTGATCCTCACAGGAGACAGGAAGAGCATACGTATGGGTTTGAAGCAGTCGAAGATATAGAAAGCCTGATGTTCGATCCGATGTCGCTCATTGCCCAATTGAAGAGAAAGAAGGCGAGCATACCGAAATTGTTTGAGATGAAGGTTCGCATTATATCTCAGGCAATCTATCATCCAACAATCGAGAACTCAGAGCTGCTCATCGACGCTCTAGATACGATACGCAATGAAGGGGTGATTTCGCAGAGGCAGAGAGACGGGTTACTGATATCCATCATCGCATATGGCAAAGATGCCACGATGAAGCGGATGGAATCCGGCACACTTGACCGCCCGTTAAACATCTATGCAAAGAGCTCAAGGAAGAAGCCAGGTGATAACAAATCACCGAAGAAGACCTATGAGCAGAAGAACGGCGGCAACAGTAATCAACAACCGAACTATAAGGGCAAGAAACCCTATAATAAGAACCGAAGGAACAGTTATAAGCCGACGGAAGCGACCAACAACTGGACGGAGACGACAAAATAGGTCGTCGGCAAGAGTGGGAAGTTCCAGGTCCACTCGGAGCCAGAACTCCACCAGGTACGCGAAGTCGGCAAGAGTGATTGTGAAACACCATCAACTTCGGCGTCAAGACAGATTAGTTTTAAAGGGGGCCGAACCGAAGACTGCCTTCGCCACACCTACCGGACTGAACCAATTCCGTGTCATGCCCTTCGGACTCATCAACGCTGATGCCACGTTCCAACGGGTGACGACCAAACTCCTCGAAGATCGTCTAGGGAGTGGATGTCTCGTTTACATTGACGATATCGTAATTTGCGGTAGCTCGTGGCCGTCACTCACGTGCAACTTCGAATGGGTACTCCAGAGACTGCGCGACCGCGAAGTATTCCTCAAACATCCGGTCTTGCCGTCGCGGATGGTGACGCTCATTATACCCACCCTTCCAAAGAGTCCATCGCCACCATCCAAGGCCTTTACCCCGGAAGACGTGAATGGCGTTCGACGACTCCTAGACCTGGTCGCAAGTTCATACCCGACTTCGCCGCCCTCGTCAAACGATCCAAGAACTCATCGCTGCAGAAGAACTCGTCTGGTCCGACGAATGCCAACGGAAGTTCGAGAACATCAAGCATCTACTCGCTGCGTCCCAGCCGTCATCGTGCCTGCCGACTAGCGAAGTACTTCTGGTGGAATAACATGTTGAACGCAGCTTCGCGAAACAGTGCCTAACCTTGGGACCAATCCACGTCACCGAACCAATCCCGTGACGAGAAGCATCCCCAGACGAAGACGCCGGGTAAGCCGTGACCGAACTAACTGAGCTCATGTTGTTGGGTCCTAGCCCCCGCACCCCTTTTTGAGATTATCCTCCAGACCGGTGGAAAGCCTTCATACGCGACAGATGGTCGTTCTGTGAGACGAGGCCCAACGACATCGAGGTGGCTCATCGTGCCTTAGTACTCGGAGGTAACCTACCGACCCTGGAAACCCATTCCGAAGCTGCCGCCGAAGAATGGCTCTACGAGGCCTCACTCCGCCTTCAGCCACAGCGACCTTCGACAGAAACCTTGTCCCAGGTGCTGGCAATGAGCTGCAAGCTCCAACCCTTCCGCAACGCCTCCCAGACGTTCCGCGTAGACGCGTCAGATTTCGAACAGGTCATGGACAAGACCGTGCGAGCCATCTTTCCGGCGAGCTTGTACATAGAAGAGGTGATCACCGACATCCTAGCGCGGAGTCACTTCTCGTCTACCACGACATAGGCCACCGCATGACGAAGCAGCTCGAATTACTAACGAGGTGGTGTATACGCTGGGACAAGGGGTTCTCGTTCTGCAAGCGCTGGGCGTGCCGCGCCGTGTTGCAATGCCTCCCTGCCAACGCCAGGTACGACGTGAAAAGGCTGACGTACCACGGGCCACTGGAGCTTATTCAAGCCCTGTACACCCTCAAGCCTCTAACCGCGCGTAGGGACGCAGAGCCCGCACCAATCATGACAGCACAAATGGTTGACGCTTACCCGATGCAAGACGCGAGCAGCGGTTGCCGTGACGCAAGAGGAGCTGCGAAGAGAAGGAGATTCGACAACCGACCATACAGAGCGTGCAGCCAACTTGGTCATTGGAAACGCGACTGTCCGAAACGAATCGCTGATAGACCAGGAGCTGCTCCGAGAGGCTAGGGATGGAGTACGGAAGCGTGCACCACATCTGAATTGGAGTGGGAAGAGGCAAGAAGAAACAAGTAAGCGTACCTGCGCCCGAGGAGCGGACAGGTGAGATATGAGGCGAACTTCCAGGTTCAGAACCGACCGACGAAAGTGAGGCTGATGCCATTGCCGCGGGCCGCTGAGGAAGAGCTCAGACGCCAGGTAGACTCCCAGCTTTCAAAAGGCGTCATACGTCCGAGTAAATCGCCGTGGAGCTCTCGTCCATTCGTAATCTTAAAGAAAACAGGCGACTGCCGGGTCGTAATAGACTATCGGCAAGTCACTAAGCAGGAGCTTGACGCCGCGTTCCCTATTCCCCTCCTCTGGGATAATCTCCAAAAGGCGCCCGGCCATTCCTACTATATTGCTCTCAACTGTAACTGGGGGTTCTGAAGTTCCCCGCGTTCTGCACCCTTTGGACTGTTCGAAGGCACGTTGGAGCAGCCCTTCTTCATGAGTAGATTAAGCATGGATTATGTGGGCCCTAGAGCATGCCAAGGGCAGGAATACCACATCCTTGTGTGTATAGACCACGCAACACGCTACATCGTGGCTAGAGCAACGTTGGTGAAGACGGCGGCGGTAACGCGCAACCTGTTTGCAGAAAGTGTAGTAGGAGCGTTGGGGATACCTTTCGAAGTATACACGGACGGCGGAACAGATTTCAGAGGTGACTTCCATGACTAGGTGACTTCCGTGGTGAAAGTCAAGAACATCAACGCCGCACCACACCCACCTCGACAGAATGGACCGCAGAATGAACGAATCGAGTCACCGCATCCTCGAGTCCATAATGTCCAAGATACATCAAGACGGTAACTATTCCGACTTGACGCTGTTGCTAGTGCACGCAGTGTACATCTACAGCGTAACGATCCACAGCGCCACACCGGATGGTCACAAGAGGGATCTCGCTCCATGGGAGAAAGGTTCATCATAGCCAACCTACTCGACGTGACGAGCGCCATGAAACATGCCCTGGTGCTCAGCAAACCACCGACAGCGAAAGGCGAAGACTTCGAGCCGGGAGATGTTGTAGTCATAAGTACTACGGTCGAAACCGTCGAAGCCGGAATCCGTGGCAAGGTCAGAATGGAGAGGCCTGCTGGTGGTTACCTGCGTAGCCACCGGGATCCAAGGCAACGGAGTGTAGGCCAATAGCACCGCCCGTGAGGCCCGAAACCCGAGTTCCGCGTGACTTGTTCATGCAGCGCAAAGGGCTAGTGTGCAGCTGCAGCGAACGCTTAGGTCACCCTAGCTGAGCCCGCTGACACACGCGACGGCCATTAACCCTGCCATCACCGGGGAAGACACCAACGAAGCAAGTTTCCACTTCGCCCCAGTGGCGCGGGCATAAAAAAAACCGGGGAGCTTGAGTCGTGTGACCACTCAGCCACACGCCTGAGCAAGCCTTGGCGACCCAACGGCCGCGCACCAAAGATAGCGCCAAATAAGTTTTATCCTTTTTTTTGGGGTTCAACTCCGCTCGCCTCCAGCCTTCAGTCAGCCGTGCGGCCTCCCTCTTCTCAAACAGTGGCAGCTCAAGGCCCGTTGTTGCCCTCCAAGAAGAAGTTGGGCCGAGGTGAACAGTCATCGTACTTTTTTGGCGGGTGGTTCGTCCTCAGACGAACTCACTTCATCGGAGCCCTTGGGATTTGGGTCAACATCAAACTGCCAACTTCGACAGAATCTACAGCTGACCTTTCGAGCCACGCGCGCGTACTTGAAGAGGATTCCCATGATGCACTTGTCTTGTAACTGCTGCATTTGTTGTGGACCCTCATCGGGAGCAATCTTACAGATTTTTGGTTTGATTAAATCGATCGCTTCGTTGAACCGGTGGTGTCCCAGGACCGTGTGAAAGATATCCACAATGTCACGACTGGAAGTGACGGACCACGTTTTGCGGGTAAGGCGGAACTTTCGGATTCCGGATGCAATCCAGTGTGCAGCTCTGGAGCTGAAGGCAATTAGGCGGACGGATGTTTCAGACATGGGAAGCTCGCCAAACGTCTCGGGAAAGTGATCGCGGTAGATTGTGTTGAATGCCCACCATGGCCAACGGAGCTTCTGACTGATGTCCCTTCCTTTCAGACAGGCCTGCATCCGACAGGCCAAGTACCACAAAGGTGACACATGTTTCGGCCGAGGCACAATCTTTTCACTATCGGCGATCAACTGCTGAAGCGCATGCGGCTTCAAGTTGTCATTCATCAGTCCCACCAGACACAGCCATCGCCACCCACACATGTCGAACGGGTTCATTTTCGGTTTGCGAGCAATCCGCTCTGTCGACTTCTTCTGGCTGCACAAGGCAGTCCGAAATCTGTGGATAGCGTACATCGCAGTACTCAGCCTACTCGCACCCGCCAGCTCCAATCGCTCTCTCTCCAGGCATTCTTGAAGCACACGGGTCATAAAGGTCGTCATCTCAACAGCAACCGACCTGTTGGCACCAACCGATCTGTCCACGTCAGCCAAGGACGGTGAAGATGGCGTCGACATGGCACCGACTTCAGGCGGAATGCTTCTAGGATCAGGGCAGGGTCTAGGACGGCAGGCTAACGGACGGCGGGCCCGAGTAATAATCAGTGGACTTGTCTCAAAATACTGGAGTAAGCAGCAAAGGTAGTTTACACTCGACAATTGGCGCGGAGGGGGAATTACCCTCTTCATTACCTCTATGGCGTTTTCAAATGCCTGTTTGCCCAAAGCTTGTTGAACAGATAAAACGGTACTTAAAGGTTCCTGGATCTTCCATGTGTTCTTGTCAATACGAATATTTCGCTGTGCTTGACGGAACCACCAGTCCAGTAGTGAGCTGGCCCAAACGCGGTTTACACTTTCCTCAGTCTCCGGCAAACGGACAACTTCATCTGGGAAGGAGACGCGACAAACCGTCTTCCGACAATGCCAGCCACTCTGCGGTGGTACCGTGCGAGGCAGCCAACGGGACAAATATCCCGTAGTAATGAATCTCTGCACCACACCAGCCAGGAACCAGGTGTCATTAACGCCGACTGGCCTCGCCAGAAAACTCTCCAACGCTGATATCACTTCACGAAAGCCACCGCCCTTGTCTTGCCACTCATGCATTAGCAATACTAACTTTAGCCATCTCCACGAACAGGCCTCGAAATCAGATATAGACAGGTCCTCTCGTGTCTTACCTCCACTCAACTCTTTCAGGATAGCGGCCTCAGCCAGCATTACAACCTTTAATTCCTCATCTGGTCTGAGCACGGGGTGCAGCCCTTTCTCCTTCTCCAAGCACTCCTTCCACACCCGAGCCACCAAGTCATACCCATTCCAGGCGTCCATCGAAGATGACGAAAAAGTTTCTCCAAACGGTTCCCTAGGCCCTTCCACCAAAGGCTCCTGCGGGACGTCCATCGATGGCTCCCACAAAGGTTCCCTCACAAGCTGAGGCCAGGCTTCCCTCAAAGGCCCCACCAACGGATCCCGCGGGGTCTCCGCCGAAGTCTCAAGCCAGGTTTCCTCCAGTGGTCTCACGGGGGTCTCCATCACAGAGGCTTCCACCAGTGGTCCCAACGAGGCCTCCGTCACAGACCCAGGCCAGACTTGCGTCGGCTCAGGCCAGTCTTGCGTCGAAATTTCCTGCGCGGCTCCCTCCGACGGCTCCCTCGATCCCCCGATCACAGGCTCATCCGGCAGGCTCAGCAGAGTGCACAAAGCCTCCGTCACTGCCTCAGGCCAGCCTTCCATCAACTGTTCTCGGGGGGCCTCTATCACAGGCTCAGACCAGCTTTCGACCAACGATTCTCGGGGGGCCTCTATCACAGGTTCAGGCCAGCTGTCCACCAACGATTCTGGCGGGGCCTGCATCACAGGTTCAGGCCCGCCTTCCATCAGCCAATTCCACGAGGGTTCTATCGGAGGCTCAGGCCAGCTTTCCACCAAGGATTCTAGGGGGGGCTCTATCACAGGCTCAGGCCAGGTTTCGACCAACGATTCTCGGGGGGCCTCTATTACAGGTTCAGGCCAGCTTTCCACGAACAATTCTGGCGGGGCCTGCATCACAGGTTCAGGCCAGCCTTCCATCAACGATTCTGGCGAGGGCTGCATCGGAGGCTCAGGCCAGGCCCCGGGAGGTTGTTCGAAGCAGTTACTGCTTGGCTGCGTGTGGTCCGGCGTCACTCTTTGGGTCACTGTACTCGAGAGCGAGCGCCATTCTACCACCGGCAAGTCCGGTGGGGGAGCGGCTCTCGGACTTCCGGCACTGAAGGGACTTCCGGCACTGAAGGGTACCTTTCTGTCCAGGTTGGGCACCCCAAATATGGCAATGCGTATCCATTGGGTCTTGTGACCCCCACAACATATCCTCATACCAGTCCAAAAATGAAGTAATAAAAGGAGTCCGCCCAGCCCGGTAATCCTCTGAATGTAAATTTGTTAAGTGTGAGTTACGTGATGTGTTCTGAGTCATTCATAGCCGTTGGAGTACTTGGTAGGACACCAAAAAATATTATGACGATGAGTAGTCGGTCATTTAGTGCACACTCTTTTCGCCGGTCCTTCATCTTCAGACGAGTTTGCTTCATCTTCAGATAACCTTTTATATCCTTTCGAGGCTACTGTATCAAACAGCCAGTCCCTACAGAATTCGAGGTGTATCCTTCGATCCAATTTTGTATACTTGAGGAGGATTTCCATTATGGTCTTATCCGAAAGCTTTAACAGTTTTTTTGGTGAGTCCGTAATGGTCGAGATTTTGGGTCTGACCAATTTTATCATTTCATTGAACCGTCCATGCCCCAGTACCGCGTGATAAGAATCGACAATATCACGATTTGAA